GGGTATGTTATGAATACAGTATATAATACACTGCTTACACATAAAATTGGGATTGTGTCAGGTGACTTGCACAATGTGTATATATTTACACGCACACACATGCATTTTACACATTTTACACCTATTTCTGGAGAGTTAGACCGCACATTTCCATAAGAAGGCCAGGCTTATTGGAGGAAAAACTGTGCCAGAAACTAGGAACAGGTTGTGGAAGTTGAAAAGAGCAATCTTTTTTACTAGTAAGCAGCTATTCTGAAGAGTTCAAACTGCTAGCTGCCCTATCACCGCCACACTTTTCTGGATTTAGTAAAAGACAGTTTTATATGTTTCCTACTTTCTAAGAAATCCTTAATAACCAGTTTCCTACCTCAGCAATGCTAAATATTTCACTTCCAAATGGTAAACGTAATTCCCATATCAGAAAATGAGTCAAAATTTCTCAGACTGACTCTCACCAATACTTATTTCAGGTTTTTTCTCTAAACCGGTATAAGGAAAGAAGAAAAAAGTTGAGGTTTTGGAAGTGAGAATACTGTTTTGCCAAACTGCATTAAAAAAAAAAAAAAAAAAAGAATGAAAGAAAGGAAAAAAAACACCTCAGAGCATGAAACAGAAATTACATGAAATTCTGAAATTTGTCCAAAACCTCCTGGCCAGCCTTAACCTTTCTCCGAAACAGGATCCTTGATCCCTGGAGTTACTAGAAAGGTTACAAAGAAAACTCAGCCACTGGTCCCCAGGTGTGGGGGTACATTCTGCACCTTGCAGATTTTTAATGGTACGGCTGTAGGAATGAGAAGAGTTTTAACACTTTTTGGGGAGGACGCTGACTCACAAGGAGTCCTGATTATCCTTACGCTGTGGGTCACATGCCAGCAGTCTCATTACCAGCTTGGAGAATTAAACCTGATTAGATTCAGATGTGTCCACCCAGGTTTTACTTTTGTGATGGTAGAAAAGACTGCAGTCAACCCATCATTTTCCAGCTGGTGTCCCTAAGTGGGTCGCCATGAGACCAGTTTCAGAAGCACCAACTTCCACTGTATACAAACTTGCTCTGACTTGCAGTACTAATGTTGTTGAACCCATTTAACTGTTAATTGGATTGAATGCACATAAATTCCTGTTGTAATGAACAACTATGAGAGCTTCAAGGGAGGGTCCAGATGCTCACACAGAACTGGAGTGAAAGGAGATGCACAGCAACCACTACATCTGCTACATTTCCTCTTCGACTGAAGCTTGTCTCTTCTTCAGGTGCAATACCAGACATATCTGATTATCTGCCTTAGAGCTGGCAAAAGCAGCAGAATATAAATGACTGAAGGGGTCTCGACCAGAACTATCATCTTCATTATGCTTATCAAATCATGATGGATACAGCTTCCGGGATAATTACATACAAATGAACAAAACTTACACACAAATATCTAAAAAAATTGCACCTCTATGAATCCACTCAAGTACGCGAGCCTCTGCAAAGAACAAAGACTAATGAAATCTGACATTAATCTATATTAAAGATTCAGTGATTCAGTTTATTTGCCAAGGCTCAATGATGCATTAATCCTCATCCCATCCCACACACACTCACGTGTTTCCTCCCTGGCTTTTCTCCCTTGCTCCCTAAATTCTGTAACAGCAGACAGCTGGGCTGCTCAAGGCCTTGTCTGCATCGAGAAATTATCTTACTTTAAGTATGCAATTCTCCTTGTGTGGTTACAATTATTCCAGGACAAGCGAGCCTCCACCAGCAGAGCCTGGAAAGGCAGGGGTCTTGTCTACACTGCTTAAACCAACAAAGAAACCCTCCTGTGGGCTCACAGCTTAGCAAGCTGCCCTGATTTGGTCACAGCAGGCATTGCACAGCTATCATTTTGGTAAAGAAGCAAAAATCAAAAATCTTGATCAAAAGTTATAGCACTACCAGTCACATGAGCAGACTCACTCGTACTGGAAAACTGGTTAGGAAAGCCCGTGCATGTAAAAAATAAATCCAGTCAGTACAGGCAGTCCAGCAAAAATCCCTGTGTAGATATAGCTATGTGTTTCCTCTGGAGAGAATCAGCCTGCGTAGGTTTGCCAGCAAAATCCCCTGAAGTTGTCAGCAAGGTCTGACTCCTCTTTGTGGATAATGCTTTGAAACTCTCCTGTAACTCCTTACCGTGCTTGACAGAGAAAATATCCATCCTTCTCCATTTAACACTGTATTTCCGTGATCTTCCCTTGCTGGTAACCTTCCATGCACAGAATCCATATTTAACCACATGCAGGCAACAGCTGAGAGCTCGTTCCGCTTACAACAAACCATCTTCAGCGCCACACAGTGTTTTACAACCTCGGCATCACTGCACCCACTGCCATCAAGCATTATCTAGCCTAGCTCTCACTGTAAAACTTTTTACGATTATTTGTGCAATGTTATGCTGTCATAACAGTATGCAAACCCCATGATTCGTAACTCTTCCAGCAATAACAATCCTTCTTGCAGATCAGCCTCTGAGAAACAGCTTGTAAGTTACAGGACACTGACCTTGAACTACACTCTGCCCCACTGAACAGGAGAGGTGGGTCCTGGTTTTAGCCCATTTAGAAGCTGGGGACGTGTCACTTCTGCAGGCAGAAAGCACGACCTCTATTCTCTCTGCACAGACATCTCACCAGAACAGCACTGAGAGATCCCAAAAGGTTTGTCCAGGAGAAATTAACATCTTATGTGAGGTAAATCACTAAATTCACATGGAGGTGAATGGAACCATGCGATACATCCCACAAGGTGGGAATGAACACCCAGCACTTGGAGCTTGCTGGTGGAAGAAAAACAGTCCTTTCTGACAATAACCACCTCTTCTTTCCTTAATCACCTCTTCAGTATCTCCCTAATTTGAGTGGCACTTAAGCAGGAGTTAGTTACAGATTCTGCAGGGCCCCAAGAGAAAAATGCATGGAAAACACACTATGGCTTTTATTTCTTTAAGGGGTGTCAAAGGTCCCACAAGAAACAGGCAATCTCACAGTGAGACAATGGACCCTCTAGGACAAGACTTCTTACACATACAGTCTAGTTTCAAATGACGGTACATAACAACAGAACTGAGAGAACACCATCTTCACTCCAAGGTTTAACATATTTTAACATACCCTCATGTACCTCTTCCTCAAACACTATGTGCTAGGATAGTCAATACCCGTAATTTACTTTCCTTTTTCCTAAGCAAGTAAAATCACAGAAGTCTCTACTGGCTGGAGGAATGGTGAAGTGTGGGACTAGCAGCCTGCAAGAACACTATTTTCACAAGATGAATGTTGCTGCCCCTCATTTGTGTTGTGACGGTGTCTCCAAGCATCAGCTCTGCAGTAGGTCTTACAAACTAGGTACTGCAAAAGCTTCAGAAGAAGTAACTTTTCATCTGAAATACTCTGCTATGATGTGCCAGGTTAACCCAATCAACTAAAATGAAAAAGCTAAAAACGCACTGGCACCTCACCTCATTACCACGCACAAAATCCTATCCCCAGCTTGCCTTGACTAATTCTCCCCCTGATCAAATTCAGCAGCTAGCAAGGATGCTATCAACTAACCTAACCGAAAAGGTGTACCTCTGTGTATTTGAAGGTGATTGCGGTGAAGCCTATCAACACACTGAGAGAAGAAAGCTCTCGTGGTGTGGGCTCACGTAGCAGAAGGAAGGGAGACAGCTCTTTTCCCCATACAGCTGTACTCATGGTGAAAAAGGCACATGGAACAGTACCAAATGCAGACTGCTGTAAAGCCACGACCTTAAAATTCATGGACCTTCCAGCTATTGCCCCAAGAGGCCGCCGCATTTTCAGAAGGATCTTTTCATGAAAAAAGTGTCTAATGATAGGAAAGGCTCACTGAAGGTGATGTGGACTGCTACAGTAATTGTAATCACCCTGGTCTTGGTTCCAGCTCCTCGGTATCAGAAGTTAAAATGCCCTTTTAGAGTTGGTCCCTGTGCCAGAATTGCTAGAGGAATTCTCTGTTAGCAAAGGGGACAACCCATCTGTTCCCTTCTGAAAGGAGGTTTTGGTGGACATTTAATCTTTCATTGTTGAGTGGTTTCACAACAGAGCCTTTGCAGAAGGCAGCCTGCCCTCTCTTGATGCTCTACAGAAGAGGTCTGCCCTCTCCTGCCCTTAGACAACGGACACAGGCACACGCAGACTCAGAACGTGCAGCCTCCTGACTTCGATCTCAGACAGAAAAGCACCACTGCAGCCCAAGATCAAACAGCCTCAGAGTCACTGAAATGGCTCCACTTACTTTGCCAAGAATCTCCTGCCTTGGCAGATCTCCCCTTTTTCCAGTCTCCGACCGGTACTGAGTTGGAAGCTACAATTATCAAGTCCTAGAGTGAGAGGGCTCGGCTGGCTTTATACCCTAACTAATGAAGTACACAGAGCTCTTGTGCCAACCTCTTAGGCACAGACCGTAACCTGAGCTACCCAAGTCGAAATTGCAAGCCCTGGAGCTGACACTACTGGAACACATCATTAGAAACATGCCATGTCACATTCAACTAACTGCCACCAACCCACTGCACAACAGCATGGTCTCCTGGGTCACTTCAGCGCCTTGGATGTGAAAGATGGAAGAGAAAAGAACAGGTTCCTGAAGAGCAAAGCCTCTCAGAAATGACACCTGAAGCTCCCAGGATGCTATGTTGGGCAATTCAGTTGGACTCTTTTTCTGGAAAACAGCCCATAATCTACTATGACCTAAATCAGAAGATAAAATCAAGTGGGTGCCCTTTATCTGTGCTTGCGGCAACCTACCTATACCTTTCATTGCTTCCGTTATGCTGTATCATAACCACCCATTTCGGCTAACTTTCCTAACGTAGGTCCTAATCCCACCCTGGAATCTGATTCTGGTTTTGCACTGCCATGAAACCAGCAAGGAGGTCAGAATCAGGCCCAAGAAACAGCTTATTGTCCACCTCACTCTTCCGTTTAACACCTCTGTAACGTCATACCTGCCACTGTTTTCCTGACTGGCTTGGCACGTATGTTGCTGGGAGGCTTCGAAGACTGTTTTTCATGGCCGACCCTACAATCGTACCCCCTGTCTCACTTGAGGAAGGCTCACTGGCCACTGCCATTTGGTACTGGGAGTAGTTGTACAGGTTGTTATAGTAAGGATACAGGGACGGCTGGTAAAAACTGCTGTAGTAGGTGGAGTCCACAACCAAATCAGACGTGCTCTCCAAGTGCCCTCTGCTGGGGATGGAAGGGATGTCCTGAATGAGCATCCGTCCCTCTGGAAAAGAAAAAACAAGCCATTATGGAACAAGAGGCTCCATGAAGACCATTACCTTTCACCTTCTGATGAGCTATAACTTCTCCTGAAGGCTGGACTGAAGGTAATAAATAGCAAGAGATGGGAGCTGAAAGGGAAACACGGCTAGAGGTTTGGGGGAAACTCAAGCGGACAGACTTTCACTCAAAGCTCAAGATCACCTACAGACACCGCAGACTGTAAAACAGGAGACAAAACCAACTGTGGGTTAAGACAGTGCTCTAAGTCCTCAAGCAGCATCAGTTGATCTGATGATGATTTACACCATCTAAGGATGCAGTCCGCTACTATTTTTAAATTGTAACAGTGTGCCAAGTTTCTCTTAGCCCCTTGGAAGCAGAAAGACTCTAGCTACAGCATGACACTATTGTCCTGCAGGTGAGAGGACACTTTCTGAACATGCCTCTAGAACAGGCAAACAGGCACAAAGCCAAGAGGAAGCTGCAGCAGGGAAAGCACCGCACGATCAGCCAAGGTGTCTCAGGTGCTAAATCTGAGCAGGGAGGCCCTTGATCCCTGCCCAACCTCCAAACTCAAATTTAGTGCATGTTTACCTACAAAATCACAGAGCAGAACAAGCTCCTACACCACTGGCAAAAGAGGAGGAGGAGGGGATTGCTGGTGACTTGCTGTCTGCACTCTTGGGTGCCTCCAGACCGGAGGCCAGCCAGCTGCACTCCCCGCAGGCTGCCGCCGCAAAGGTCTGCCTCCCCTGTCGTTCCCAAAGACCGGGGGCTTCTCAGAGGCTGTTTTAGAGTCCTGTTTTCCTCACTCCAGTGTCAACCGGTGCCTTGCGATATTTGCAAGGATGAAAAAGGAAGGTGCTTGTCGGTACTGTTTCACAGCCAAGCTCTCTCTGACATGCTGCATCACCCACCTGTCAGAGCCAGACACTCAAACAACTGCCACAACCATAGAAAGTCTAAACACACAGTGAATATACATTTACATATTGAACAAGGGAGCAACTGTAAACCCCACTATCGATGCAGCCCTGGTTCTAGCCTCTAACCCTTGCCCTGCACCAACCCTTAGGGTGTTCGCAGCACAACGCTCCATTCTGCAAGAAGCTCCTGCTTGTCCCATTATGTTGTCTAACTCCACCGTGGAGGAGAAAAGGATGTGGCTTAAAGTATACTGATGAGCTCTCAAGGGCTATCAGTATGAAGATGAAGCAGCATGGACAATAGGCACGTATGAAATAACAGCTCTAAGAGAGATGTCAGGCAGGCGTTGCCTAGTTTGTTTTGTGCCTTTCTCTTGGTATATCTGTACCTTGGTTATTCACCTGCAAAATGAATATGGTGGCATTTACCAGCCTCTCACAGTCACAGTAACACCTTCCACTGTACTGTGTATTAGCTGCACACTAGATCCAATGATCAGTTTTACCAATTATTGCCACTTACAATGCAATTCTGTTTCACTTCATCAGCTGTACTGAAAGCTTTCTGCAATCACGCATAGTCTTCTTCCAGGTCACTAAATTATACAGTGCCCCCATTCAGCTCTTGCTGACATTTTGTTGACATCAATGAACTACACTCATTTATTAGCAAACAGAGCATTTTATGCCTCCTGCATCTGATTTTTCTGCCCCTCAGCCCTATGTGAGCAAGAACCTAGCCAGCCGGCCTTTTTCGCTCAGACCCTTCACAGTTTTTGTCCTTTCATATTTTAATGAAATTTTAATATTGCTATTATTCTGCTTCTGGGCAGGCCTCTCTTCAAAGTCCTTTTGTCCATGTCTTTGACAAAATCAGAACTTAGACCACTGGCACTGAAAAGCCAACAATTCTGTTAAATCACAGCATGAACCTGACTCCCCTCCCCAAACTTAGCTTCTGAGTAACACAGCGGTCCAATTGTTCTGCTTTTGATGCTGAAAATTAGAAGCCTAAAGCAAAATCCTCCGACACGTTTCCTGCTGGTATACAGATTTTACATGAGACAGAGATATGCAAGGCAGCTGGCTGCTTAACTTCTGGCAGGACTATACTATGCTGCACAGATGTGCAATTTCTTCTGAAACCTCTGCAGTGTCTTTCCACTTGCAATGCATCGTAAGAAGGGATAATACCTTCTGCTAAGAATACTAGCACCAGGAAGATGGTGACAGGAAAGGTGAACCACCCTGAGATGTCAGCAACTAAAAGGAAGGAGGGAAGAAAGTAGCAGGCTTTGCTCCAACTTTTGGAAAGGTCTTATGCACTACACTTCCTAACATATGATGGGCTAGACTAGAAAAACGACCTGCCGGCAGTCATCCCCAAAATCATACAAGCATCCTTGATGTCTCTGTATTATGTTCAGGTGGCTGGTAGTGTTACAGCTCCTTCCTGAAGAAAGAGCAGCGGTGGCAGACTTCTGCTGCACTAAGTAGGAGAAAAAAATACGCTTTTTGCCCCTTCTTCTCTTTCTACTCCTATCTGTGGTTGGGGCTACCATCATTTGCCACCGGAGTTCTAAAAGGGTTCATTTGCTGCCACCCGTTTTCTTTTATCTAGCTGCACAACAGCCGCCAGTGGTTCAATGCTCAGGGCTGTTACAAATCCACCAGAACAGTCCTCTGCTTTCCTTCTGCTGTCCCTCCGCTCTCCAATAGCCTCTACAGTACTATCAGCTGCCCTCTTAAGACTCAGCTGATCACCTGCTCATTCACCCGCCCATGTACCCACACAAATCCCCAGATGTCAACAGCCCTGACAACCCTTCAGAGCTACAGCTGCACCACAGGGATGTGCCCCAGCAGATTAGCAGAAAAAGCAGGAGCCATGGGACAGGGGAAAGTTCAAAGGGACAGACACACCCAACTCTGTACAGAACTAGGTCTCCTGTGACGGTGCTGGAAAGATGGCCCGTAGAGTTAATTTTCCCTAAATCCCAAGCCACATCATGCTCCTGAAGATGGAAGGACTGGTAACATCCGGCAAAGACCAGGCAGGAGAAAGCTGCCACATGCTTCACCTCACACTTTCCCTTGAATTTAGGAGATGAGTTTTTTCTTTGATGCCACGCTTCGGGACAAGTCTCTGCTTTTTTTCTGTAGCATCTGGAGGCGATTCGGTGCTTCACCCAGGAAGACATTTCATACAAGACATAGCTTTGTGCCATCCAGACTGTGGGCGGATGTCAGGTCAGACCAGGTCAAAGCAACCCAGGGGTCACTCTAAGCTCCTCACAGTCTTGAACCAGCCAGCTTGAGGGAAGGATGCCTCTGGAGAGCTGAGTTCTTGCAGGTCTTCAGCAACGCTGGCATGCACCGGGTCAAGGGCAGGTCTGCAGTCCAGCTCTATGCTCTTACTCCTGAGCTGAATCATGTCATCTCCTACTACTAATGCATACCTCATACATATACAACACGTATAGAACACACGCAACTGTAAAAACACTAAGGGGAAAGAGAAAAATGGAGAAAGCCCTGCAAGTCTTCACTTTTTTCTGAGCAATGAAAGCTCAGGAAGAAAAGCAGGTCAGACCAGCCAGTACCTACATGGGGTACCTTCAATGAAGTGCTAAGTGCCAAGGGGAGCAGAATTAAAGGCCAGAGAACCCTGATAAACTGTCTTGAATTAAAGGCCAGAGAACCCTGATAAACTGTCTTAGGGATAAAACAAGGCACTCAGAGATCTGCCCAGAGAAGATTTCATGTTTATAGTATGCCCAGGGGAGCTTTTGCCCTACCCATGCTGGTTCTCTCCAGCTGAAGTCTGCTAGCCAGCTGGCAGGCAAGCACACTGCTTCTGGGCTGCAGCATCCTCAGCCATGGCCACTGTTTGCAGAATAGGGCAGATCTATTGGAAGCAATGGCTCTAACTAAACTTTAACTAACTGGGGTTCCTCTGGTCAGTCTGTACCTGTACCGCCTGTACCTGTAACTCTTGACTCCTACCTACAGGCTGAACCTTCCCACAGCCTCACCTCAACGAGCAAGGTGCCCTCCTCAAGGGAGGCTGTCAGCCCATGGCTGCATTTTCCACTAGCAAGGAGAGAATATCAAGGTTAAGAAAGCAGCTTTCAGCTGGTTTTTTTTTTTACACAAATGTAATTCAACACAGCTGAACGGCTCTGCTGGCAAGTAGAGGGTCCTCCCCTGCCTCAGAGCTTGCAGCATTACAACACCTGCACATGAGGGGCAGCCCTGAGGTTCATTGCTCTAAGGGGAGCAATTTTCAAGAGGAATTAAGCTCTCAACAAGGCAACTGCTGCTGCGCCGTCAGACTCGTACTCTGCCCCTCCACCTGCCCTTTAAAATAAGAGGGCTGCTGCAGGAGCTGGGCTCACACCTTGGCTGTCTTCACCGTCTACGTGGAAAAACTGGGAGGGGCTCCTGGGTCTTTCCCCTGCCACTAGCCACAAATTTTAACATTTTGCAAGTTGCAAACAGGACACAATTAAAAATATGGGACTGAACCTTTACAAGAAGGAAGAGAAATTAGAAGAGCAAACCAAAAAAAGAGCGGTACAGGTTTTGGAACACCAAATCTACAATGTAGGGCCATCAGAGGCTCTCCATGTGTGAGCAGCGCTCTTGCAGTGAGTCAACAGTATCCCTTCATGCAGCTGTGCCCTTGGATCTCTAAGCTCTTTTCCATGTCTTTACTAATTCCTGTAGAGAACCGATGCTACTTTTTTTGCACTATGTACACAGTGTGAAATATGGCCCACTCTTTCATAGAAGATCAATATGATGCACGATAAATACTGTTATTGATCTTGCAGTGTTGTAGATGACTCTCCAGCTCTATGGCATATTAATAGTAGTTAACTAGTAATTCATTTCAGGATGGCTGGGATTTTCTTTTAAGGAAGGTGAGTTCTCGGGGTCAGTTACACATATGGGTCTTATACATTCAGTAACCTATGAGGGGCTCCTGCCTCCACTTAGCAGAGCATGGTGAAAAACAGTGGTCCAGTCCTCAGTTAATGTAAACCAGTCTCAGACGATTTACTTCAATAAA